AAAGTCTTTTCAACAAATGGTGCTGGGAAAACTGGAAAGCCATATGTAAAAGAATGAAAATTGACCATTCTTTTTCACCATTCACCAAAATAAACTCAAAATGGATCAAAGACCTAAAGGTGAGACCTGAAACCATAAGGCTTCTGGAAGAAAACGTAGGCAGTACACTCTTTGACATCAGTATTAAAAGGACCTTTTCAGACACCGTGCCTTCTCAGAGAAGGGAAACAATAGAAAGAATAAACAAATGGGACTTCATCAGATTAAAGAGCTTCTTCAAGGCAAATGAAAACAGGATTGAAACAAAAAAACAACCCACTAACTGGGAAAAAGTATTTGCAAGTCATATATCTGACAAAGGCTTAATATCCTTAATATATAAAGAACTCTCGCAACTCAACAACAAAACATCAAACAACCCAATCAAAAAATGGGCTGGAGACATGAACAGACATTTCTCCAAAGAAGATATACTGATGGCCAATAGGCACATGAAAAGATGCTCATCATCGCTGATCATCAGGGAAATGCAAATCAAAACTACACTAAGATATCACCTTACACCCGTTAGAATGACAAAAATATCTAAAACTAATAGCAACAAATGTTGGAGAGGTTTCGGAGAAAAAGGAACCCTCATACACTGCTGGTGGGAATGCAAACTGGCGCAGCCACTATGGAAAACAGTATGGAGATTCCTCAAAAAATTAAAAATAGAACTACCATACGATCCAGCCATCCCACTACTGAGTATTTATCCAAAGAGCTTGAAGTCAGCAATCCCAAAAGTCCTATGCACCCCAATGTTTATTGCAGCACTGTTTACAATAGCCAAGACCTGGAAGCAACCTAAGTGCCCATCAACAGATGAATGGATAAAGAAGATGTGGTACATATATACAATGGAATACTACTCAGCTGCAAAACAAAACAAAATCATTCCATTTGCAATAACATGGATGGAACTTGAGGGAATTATGTTAAGTGAAATAAGCCAGCGAGAGAAGGATAATCTGTGTATGATTCCACTCATATGAGGAATTTAAAATTATGGACCAAGAACAGTTTAGTGGCTACCAGGGGAAAGGTGGGGTGGGGGGTGGGCACAAAGGGTGAAGTGGTGCACCTACAACATGACTGACAAACATTAATGTACAACTGAAATTTCAGAAGATTGTAACCTATCATTAACTCAATAAAAAAAATATATATAAACTATTTTCCATGATATAAAAAATATATATAAACTATTTTCCATGAGAAAAAAAAAAAAAAAAGAAATGGCTGAACACTGACCCAGAACTCATTCGAGACTTTGGCTCAGGTCTCCTCCTGTTCAGGCCCTCAGAATCCACACCCAGAAACAGAGAGGACTGGCACATCCAGGAGGTGGCCCCTGAGACCCTCTGTGCCCTCAGGATGGAGAGGAGGGAATTCCTGCAGCTCTGGTGGTGCCTGGCCTCCAAGGCTCTTAGCGCCCACCATGCCCTGCTGCAGGCTGCTTACCTCACGTACCAGGCGGGGGGAAGGGGTTTGCACAGATGTGGGGGGCACCCCCTAGTCATCTTGGAGAACAGAGATGCAGCACTGGGTGGCAGAGGTGATCCTGGGTGTGGGGAGTGGAGGACAGGTACCTCCAGGCCTTGATTCTGGGGCTCCCAGAAACTGCCCCCTCCTCATTGCCACTAGCAATGCTCCTATAATAAAAGCCCCTCCCAGGGAGGGCCCACTATGCACCTTTCCAGAGCTGCTTGCTGATGGCTCAAGGCGTAGTGCAGAGTGGCCATGGAGTCAGAAGCTCCCTCCAGTCAGCTGAACGGGGGCTAAAGATGAAAAGGGTGTGGAGCCTGATGGCTGAAGGGAACGCAGGGTCTGGTCCTTGCGAGCCCCTTGTCTGAGGGGTAAAGTTGTCACACTTGGGAAGCCTGTAGCCTGAGGGGAGGTGTAGTCCCGCCATTGGGAAGCTGGAAAGAAGGGATGAATGGGGGAGTCCCCGTGTGAGGGGGCCGCCCAGGCGTCCATGACCCTTGTCTGAGGAGGCAGGTGGTCCCCTCCTGGGGACCAGCCTGACAGATGAAACCCAGTCTTAGACGGAAGGTAGGGTTGGGGAGTCATCCTCCATCCTCGTGTGGGGTGGGGGGTGCATCACAGAGGATGCCAGCTGGGGGTGACATTGGGCTGACTTCCTGAAGAGTTTGCTTCTGAGTAGAAACATGGCCAGGCCTGGGGCAGTGGGCGGAGTCGTTGGCAGGGAGACAGGGCACAGCTCCTGTGTGTGCGGGTGTCTGTTGGGGGACAGTTGGGCCTGAGCCATTCCATAGCAAGGAGACCTGACTGTGACTTTCCTCAGGGAAACGCCCTGGGAGTGCAGGACTTGATGGTGAACATGTCCTTTCTCACTCACTGTCCCATTTGTCCCCATGCAAACCCTGCAGGGAACGTAATTCCTATCCCGCAGATGAGGACTTTGACACCAGAGAAACAAAGCAGGTTGCTCAAAGTGACTCAGCTAATAAAGGATAGGGCTTGGGCCCCACGCCCCTCCAGGTCTCCTGGGTGTTCAATTCTTCAAGTGAAAGAAAGGTGGAAGTGGAACTGTGGGGTCTGGGCAGACCCTGTGGCTGGTGCCCTCTATGACACAGGGCATAAGCACAGCTGTCGCTGACTATGCATCTGACTCCATTACACTGCTGTCCGTGAGGTTGGAGTCTCCGTCCCCAAGTTTACTCTGGAAATCTGTGGCTCAGGGAGGGGAGGTAACTTGCCAGAACTGCAGGTTCAGCCACCTGCGCTGTCAGCGCCACACTGGGGCGCCTCCCTCGCTGAGCTGCTTGGCAGAGTTGGAAGTCCTCCTGGGTCCTCTGCGGGGGTGGGCTGTCTGCTCGGGTAGTCCATGAGCACGTGCTGCGTGTCAGCCGTTTCCACACATTCATTGCTGCTCTAGTCCTCACAGCCCTCCCGGCAGACCTCAGGGACACATTTGAGGGCAGAGTTGGCGCAGGCAGGTTGAGTCACGTGCCCAATAAGAACGAAAAACTGATCAGTGAGCCCGTTGGGCTGTCTTCCATCAGATTGCTTCCCTCTGCTCCCTGGAGGGGCTCATGGGAGCGTGTGGCCTACGTGTCCGCTTGTCCAGGGTGGGGAGGGAGATCCCCGCAGTGGTTGGCCTTGGGAGCCTTCCCCTCCGGCCCCCAGCACTAGGATTGGAGATCCTGTAATAAAGTGTTTGTCTTAAACTGCCCCTGAAGTCCCCTCCTTAGAGCCTCATTTCTTTCAGGTTGATCCTGAAAATATAAACCAAGGGTCCAAAGTGTCCTTGGGGACCATCTTGTGTAAAATCCTCATTTTAGAGGATTCTGATGTCCTGAGGGAGGGCAGCTCTTGCTGAGTCACCCAATTTCCCTACCTCCTTCTGAACTATTTGCTTCTGAACCATTGAGTTTGCTTCTGAAGTATTAACCCCGGACCTCACGTTGACAATGCACTGACACATCCTGAGCACACACCACGTTGTGCTTGACCCTCACAACGATTCTATAACTGGACACTGCAATTATCATCCCTGTTTTACAGATGAGGAAACTGAGGCACAGAGTGGATTCACATTCTCTAAGATCACATAGCAGGTCACGGCAGGGCTGAGCCTGGACCACAGGCAGCCAGGGGCAGGAGCCTGAGTTCTGTGACTGCCAAGTCCTGGGCTTCTTGACCTGCTGACCATTGACTTGGGCACAAGGACGGACAGTAGCTTGCCCACAGAGACAGAGGTGAGGATGGATAGGGTGCTCCCTGAAGGGGGACCACACTGCATAGTCCTCCCTTTCAGACAAGCGGACCACCCTGATGAAGGTCATCTGAGGGGCGAGCAGGCCTGAGGGGTTGGGTGCCTCAGCCAGGCAGCCATTGGCTCTCCAGGACTTTGCACAGGGAACTGGAGAGGGAAGGGAGAGAAAGGACCAAGGTGGGTCTTATTCCAGGCCAGGGAGGGATTCCGAGTGGCACAGGGGTGCTCCAACATCTGCTAATCTGTGGAGGGCATCTCAGAGCCCTCAGTAGCCTCCGTGGATCTGGCTCCTTGACCAGACTAGTAATAGGAGCTGGGTCCATCTCTCAAGACCCAGAGAAGGAGGCATGAGGGAGGGAGGAGGGAAACCAGGAGAATGGCACTGGGGGGCCTGGGGCAGGGGACAGTTTCAGGAGGAGAGAGGGTTACTAGAGCCTGCATAGGTAAAGACAAGGCTTCAGAGTGGCCACGGGGTCCAGTGAGGGCAGAGCAGCCTGCAGTGGCCTTGAGAGAGAGAGAGTGAAGGAGTGGGTCAACTAGTGTAGATGATCCTTCCTCAGGTTGGGTAGGGGCCAGGGCACAGGCCACATCTGGTGAGGGTTGGGGACATTTTAAGACTGAGAAAGGCAGTGGAGCAGAATCCAGGAGAGGGGACAGATGGTGCTGAGCCTCTGAACTGGCTGAGAGCTGGGTCCAGAATAGGATGGTGTGGCCTTGAAAGTCTCCCTTGGAACAGGCTGAGTGGGTGAGGCTCTAGAGAAGGGGGTGGGTGGGTTACTGTTATTCATTCATCAACTACGAACTGAGTGCCTGCTGGGTCCCCAGCAGTGCCGAGAGGTGGAGATTCAGTGGTGAATACACAATATTACCCTTATTCCTGAGGAGGCCTGGGTGACAGGTGAGAAGGATGTAGGATAGCTGCCTGGTTCCCTTCCTCTCATGGAGGACTCAACCCTCTTAAGCAACCCTGGCTATGATCCTCCCTGGTGGGGCCCAGGCAAGGCCAAGATATTGTCAGGGAGATGGAGAAACCATTTCTTCACTTGCACATAAGGTAGACCTCGCCCACTGTCCAGCAAGCCCCATGAGGCAACAGCAGAGGCAGAGGGAAATCCAGGCCACATCCTGGCAGGAGGCCAGTGATGTGGTGGGTCAGGAAGCCTCCTGGTTGGGCCTTTGCGTCATCCCCAGGCTGGGCATAAAGGAGGGTCCTGCAGGCTGGGAGGAGGCAGACTTGGGGACCATGGAGACCCAGAGGGACAGTTGTTCCCTGGGTAGATGGTCACCGTTGCTACTGCTACTGGGCCTGGTGATCCCTCTGGCCACCACTCAGACCCTCAGCTACAAGGAGGCCGTACTCCGTGCCGTGGATGGCCTCAACCAGCGGTCCTCAGATGAGAATCTCTACCGCCTCCTGGAGCTGGACCCGCTGCCCAAGGGAGTGAGCCTGGGAGGGGGCAGTGGGGAGGGAAGGTCTGCTCTGGCCACACTGTCTCTCCCTTTGCTCAGGCTGTCCCTCCTGTCAGGAAGGCACTTCTCCCTTTAAGTGTGGTCCCACATCTCCAGGAAACCTTCCCAGAACTGTGTCCCCTCTCAGCATGAGAGCTTCCTGCCTTAGATCTCTACTGTGGGAAGAGGTCCCCCCACTCACAACCACATTCAGCCTTCAGGGACATGTAGGTCCAGGGACAGGAGTGGGGTCTTTGACTTGAGGCTGTGACTTCTCTGCTTTATGTCTCCTCTGCACGCTGCTGTCTCCCACACAGGGAAGGGTTTTGCTGAGCCTTGAGGTTCCAGTGACAATGTCTTTTCCTCCAGGACGACCCTGATTTCCCTCGGCCCCCTCAGATGGGGAGGTGCTCCTCGTCAGAGCTTGTCTGAGGTCCACTCGGGCTCTCTGTTTGCTTGTCGAGGGCAGGAATGGGCTCTGTCCTCCCCACTTAGTACCCCAGCACCAAGCCCAGTGCCAGACACACACTAGGGGCTGTTGAAAGGCTCCACTTTGGGCGGAGGGCAGGGAGACGGACCAGAGAAGGCAAGCATGAGCCTGAGCCCGGTCTCCACACTTTCTCCCCTGACCAGGACGAGGCCCCAGACACCCCAAAGCCTGTGAGCTTCACGGTCAAGGAGACTGTGTGCCCCAGGACAACGCAGCAGCCACTGGAGCAGTGTGACTTCAAGGAGAATGGGGTGAGGTTGGGGCCTGTGGGATTAGGGGCACATCTAAGGAGGTGAACAAGAGGCCTCCAGAGAATATTTCTAGCCTTTGGGGTGAGGTTGGGAGGTTATGACACGGGGGTTCCAGTGTGACCTGGAGCCTCCTCTTCTCAGCTGGTGAAACAGTGTGTGGGGACAGTCATCCTGGACCCGGTTAAGGCCTCCGTTGACATCGGTTGTGATGAGGTGAGTGGCTCATTCTGGATTGCAACTGCTGGTGGGGAGGCGATCTTTGGAACATTCTATGGACCAATTACCCACTGCCCCATCAGGGCAGAGAAAGCCCCTCCCACCCTGGGCTCCTCCCTCCACCTGAGCCCCAGGTCTCAGGACTGGCTCTGCAATTCCTTAGAGCAGCAGTTCTCAAAATGTGGTCCTCACCTGGGAGCTATCAGAAATGAAACTTCTCAGGCCCCACCACACCTGCTGAGTCAGCTCTGGAGTGGGGCCCCCCAATTTGTGCTTTAACAAGCCCCCAGGGATTCTGATTCCTGCTGAAGTTTGAGAGACACTGACTTGGAGCAATGAGCTTTGAGCCCATGCTCCTGTCCTGGCTTTGCTGGGTAGGCTGAGTGACCCTGGGAAGCCCCTTGTCATCTCCAGGCCTCGGTTTCCTCACCTGTTTGTGGGTGTTGGTTTTCAACCACACGTTCCTAAGGTGACAGCCAGAAGGTGAACTGGGCCCCTAGTCTCCTGGCGTGTCCTATGAAGGAGTGTGTCTAGGTGGGAAAGGTCTTGTCTCGACTAGGGTCCAACCCCCACAAGAAGCCTCTCTCCTCCTGGTTCACAGCCCCAACGTGTCAAGAGACTCGGCTGGCGGCCTCCTGGTGGACACTTTCTGATGATTCATCTTCTTCGACCTAAGAAGCTTTTCACCTAGAATCGGCTTGCCCTGGCTTGGGCTTCTGGACTCTGAAAAATAAATTATGTGAAAGCCACTTCCTCCAGGCTTCAGTTTCACTTGTCTTGCCTTCTCCCACTTCCTGCCACCAACTGAGGCTTTAACTCTGGGAGGCCCTATGTGCATGCATGTGTGTGTATGTGTGTATGTGTGTATGTGTGTGTGTGTGTGCGTGCTTTCACAAAACACAGACATGGGTTGAGGCAGCTGTTCCATCCAGCAGGGCCAAGAGTCCAGGACAGCGTCTCCATTCTCAGGGTCCCTCTCTATGTCCTTCACGTACCTCCTGCCTCCCTCTTGAACACCCAGTGGGACTTGAGATCCACTGTGTGTGCAGGCTTGGTGGGGATGCCGCGGAGCTGGTCCTGCTTACGTGGAGGTGGCAGTCGAGGGTGCGGCCAGGCATTCTGTTACACACTCACAGACATGCTGAGCAGTTTCATGGCTGACTGGGTTCTAAGGTCAGCCTGCTGGTACAGAGCCCGCAAAGTTCCAATTCCCTTGAAAATCTTAACTCTGGAAAAGCCCACCACTCCTGGCCTTTCTTCTGGCATTGAGACACATTACCGTTTCTTTGGCTGGGTAGCAGATATAAGATATGGCCTTGTCTTTAGAGATTGAATGGTACACAGATTTTGTACCATTAAATCAAGAATCCTGGGGGGCTGGCCTCGTGGCAGAGTGGTTAAGTTCACGCGCTCTGCTTCGGCAGCCCAGGGTTTTGCTGGTTCGGATCCTGGGTGCAGACATGGCACCACTCATCAAGCCAAGCTGAGGTGGCATCTCACATACCACAGTCAGAAGGACCCACAACTAAAAATATGCAACTATGTACCGGGGGGATCTGGGGAGAAAAAGGGAAAATAAAATCTTTAAAAAACGAAAACAGAAAACAAGAATCCTGCGCAGCAAGGTGAGGAGCTGTGGCAAGGAGAGACATGCAGAGTGACACACAGGTCACATCTCCGTGACACTGTGCATTTCAGACACTGCCCATGTCCTGCCCACTCACCATTGTTAGCTGACCTGAAAAACCTGTGGCTCTTTGCAGTGGGACAGACTGGAAGTACCTGGGGAGTTGGTGCTCCAGGGAGCAGCCTCAACCAACGATAGGTCCGAGTTGGTGGAAAAATATCTTCCCTTCCTCACTCCTGGGGTGGACCCACTCCAAGATGTGTCCCCAGCTGGGTCGTGCCCCTGTTGCCCACAGCAAGGACCTGTCCGTGAACACCTCCTCTTCTGACCTCTGTTCCTGCCCTGTCTCACTCCTCCACGCTCCTGCTGGTGCTTTCTGTGATTGCCTCCCAACTAACTACTTCCACTTGAATCCTTGTCTGAGGGCTGCTGCTGGGTCAACCTAAAGAAGGACGCAGACACCCCTCTCTGAGAGGGACAGAGGGCAGGACTCACGTCCTGTTCACTCTGTTGTCTGTCGTGCTTGCTTCTTCTTGGTGAGCAGGGGCAGCTGATTTCAGGCAGGTTTGAGCAAACTAAGATGCTTCTCGCTCTGTGTCATCAGGAACCCAGGGGGCGGTGTTGTGTCAGTGCCAGAGGATACTGGCTATCTAGAGCCAAGTATTAAGTTTTCAGGATCTTCTTGAGCTGGTTGTTAAAATCTTGGTAGTTTGAAATCGATCAGGTTGAGATTATTTACACCATGGAAATCAGCAAGCACTACAAATCAGCCCCCACTGCTGGCATGTGTCTGCCCAAACTGAGAGAGGGATCACTCATCAGGCTGATAGGGGCCTAGCCTCATCACGTCCATTTCCAATTTCCTCCCAAGATTGTGCATCCTGCTACTATGGGAACCCTCCTATTCCCTGGGCCTGCCTTGTCCTTTGGTATTCTACAGGGATGTTGGGCTGACGTCCCTTGCCATGTACCAGGCTGTCAGCATGCATACGTGACCACTGGTGTCACGAAGGGGATGCTTACAGTTTTTCCATCTCAACCCTTGATCAGGTCATAACCAGTCTCTGGCAGGGAGGTCTGCAGGCCTTGTCAGTGCCCTCTAAAATGATTGACTGGCGACAGTGCCTGCTGCACAACTATGATAACTTCTTATCCATGGGAGAGCAAATATTAGACCCTTTCATGAATGACATTGGAACATCAGGCCCCGGTACGCTTGGTTTGTCAATTCTCCTTGGCAGAAAAGCTCTGGATGGTGAGTTACGTTGGCAAATGATGCCCACAGTGTTACGGGAATGCAAAGGAGAAGAACCCAATCCAGCATGCGGGAAATGAGGGTGATACAGGAAGAGGACAGCTTAGGCAGAGGCACAATGACAGGCATGGCAGGAGTGGAGAGTAACACTCTGCTCAGTGCTCAAGGCAGGCAGGCATGCAAGGCGGTGGGGGTCAGGGTTCAGTGCAGAGGTAGGCCGAGGTCCTGAAGAGCAATAGGGAGTAAGCGATGGTTTTAGCACAGGGAGATTGGATTCTATGTCCATCTTAGCCACACCACCCTGGCTTCAGTGTATATGTGTGGGTGTGTGTTTATGTCGGGTGAATAGTGAGAGAGACCAGCAAAGACATGTCCCCCCAGGGCAGTGGCCAAGAGGAGAGGATGGAGGAGAGAGTGGAAGGAGGATTGGCCCAGAGGCTGACAGAGGGTGGGGCTGACTGGGATGGAGTCATGGCAGAGAGGATGAGGCAGGTTGGTTCCCCGGGGAGCCTCATAATGGTGGCGCTTCCTGAGAGACTGACATGGGCTGTTCAGCTTCCTGGGGCAGGTATGAGATGAGTGTGGGGAGATGACAAATTCAGTTTTGATTCTGAATCAAATCTGAATCTGAACACGTTGATTCTGAGGTGCCAGCGGCATGTTGGTCCCTGGGTGGGGCCTGGGGAGAAGGCCCATTGTAGTAGATGGTTAGTGCCCTGCCCAGACCCCTTCCCTGGGCTGCTGCTCCCATTGCCCAGCCATTTGGATGTGGAATGTCATCTTCACTGCTAATGGCTCACAGATGCCCCCCTCACAGCCTCCCCAGGAGATGCCTGGGGGGTTACATTGCCTCTGCCTGCAGCTGTGGAGAGTGACTGACTGATGAGGGGATGTCAAGCCCGCCCCTGCCTCCAGTCAGGACTAAAGGAGGGTGCAATTCTGGGTGCAGGGCTTTGGTGGGGTCGGGCTGAGCTGGTCTCAGGATGGACCACATCCTTGCTCAGCTCCTTCCTCTGCCCCATCCTGCTTCCCTCACCCCCCTCCTCCTGAGCGCACCCCTCAATCGATCGTATGCCACTGAATTCCCACCTCAGGCTCTGCTTCTAGAGAGCCCAGCCTATGATGGCCGTGGACTGAGGCAGGAGCTCTGCAGAGCCTTTCCAGCTCTTTCCAGGTGGGTGTAGGTGCCGGGAGCTGGTGTGGAGACAAGCAGAGAAAAGCCAGAGATTTCCAGGGTACGGGTGCGGGGATGGGTTGAGTTGTGGGGCAGCGCTGTAATCCAGGGCCACTGAGGATTTCAAAAAGTTGTCAGAGTACACAGGAGGCCAATTGTCCAAGGGAGATGACTCCTAAGGGTTTCCCACTGTCTGTGCCGATGTGAAGGCTGCTGAAATCAGTGGGGGACAGCCTCAGTGGGTTGGGGTCACAGAAGCCAACCATAGTGCGTCGGGGACAGAGCAAGAGGTATGGAAGAGGGGAGGCAATGACTTGGATAAGGAGGGGTTTTTGCTGTCTCTAAACCTCTGCTGTGACAAGGAGGGAGACTGGGTTTATCAGGCAAGGTCATTGTCGACTCTGCCCTGGACCTCCTCCTCTGAGTGTCAAGGATTAATTCGCAGACTCAGAGGGGATAGGCTACTCCTGGTCAGTCTCAAGGGGGAACAGAAAGGGAAATCTGAGGAGTCTAGAAGTCTGAGAGCAATTACTCCTCTGTCTATGTGGCTCTGGGCAAGTTGTTTGACCTTTCCAGGCCTCAGTCTTCCTATCTGTAAGTTGGGAACAACACAGCTTACTTTAAGGGATTGGTCTAATGCTTTGGTTGGATAAGGAAGGCAAAGGACCTCAGGAGGGGTTGATTCTGAATCAGAGAGGATGAGGGACTCAAAGGAGATATTAGTTAGTGAGGGTCACTCTCAGGACACAAGGCTGGGGGTTAACTGTCAGAGCAGGGACCGAGAGAGACACATGGAATCTCCATCAGAGGAGGATGCAGCACATCCACACAGACCCGACTTCCTGAGAGTACAAAAGTGGCCATGGTCCAGACGCCCCTCTCCACTAGTCCTCTCTCATCTGGCTGCTAGGAGAAGCTGGCGTGGCAGGGTGGGGGATCCTCCAGAAGTCCCCTGTTCTCACTGAATGATGCGTGAGCCAATCAGATCCCCCAAATCCTGTCCCTTGGCCCCCATGAGTCTCTAGCCTCAGTCTTATGTGTGGGGCTGCCCTGGTTCCTGGTGTCCTTCCAGCAGCCCCCAGGTTTTCTATGTTCTCCTCTGTGTCGGTGCTGTCCCCAGCCAGAGCAGAGCAGGATGCTGCCAGGGGACACACAAGCTGCATTGTGACACTAATGGGCCCTAGGCACTTTTACTTTTATGGGTCCCTTCATCCACAAAGATGCATTAAAAATTATATTTTACAATTGCTTTGGTAGAAAGGTGAATATAATAGAGGCTGGATTAATATTATATATTCATTGTTATTATAGTCATTTTTAACTTCTGAGTTTAAACGAAGTTAAAACATTTTTGTGGATCCCTAAAAGTATCATGGCCCCCAGGCACCGTGCCTACCGTGCCTAATGGAGAGGCTGGCCCCGGGGAGACAGCCTTCCTGTAGCAGCGCGGGCACCCTGGCAGGCAAGTGCCTGGCGCTGTCTGGGGACGCTGGGCACCTGCTGGTGCTGCTCTAGATTGCCCCCACTGGCCATCTGTGGGTCCTGCAGGGCGCAGGAGGGCTAATGGGGCCAGGGAGGCCCTGCCCTGGAGGCTTCCCTGTCCTGTGTCTTGGCAGGCAGCAGGCTAGGAGCTGGGGCTCCCCTGGGGTACTGGATCCTCTCCTCACCGTTTCTGTAGATGCTCATCTCTCTT